AGGAATATATTATATTCAAGGTCATATTTGACTCTCTCGTGGACTTGGTTTTATTTTCTTCAGCTTCAATTTGAATTTGCATGTGAAAGCAATTGATGGTCTGTTCCACAATCTGCTCCTTGCTTTGTTTTGACTGATGATACAGAGCTTTTCAAGGAGCTCTCGTAGTATAGTGGTTACAAATTGGGCTGCGATCCACAAGGTCAGCAGTTTGAAACTACCAGCTGTTACGTGGGAGAAAGATGAGGTTTTCTGCTCCCGTAAAGATTTACAGCCTCGGAAACCCTGTACAGGGTCGTTATGAGTTGGAACCGACTCCACAACACATAACAACAACAACATAGAGCTTTTCCATCATCTCTTTCCGCAGATGTAGTCAGTTTGACTTCTGTGGTTTCCATCTGGTGAGGTCCATATGTACAGTCATCTCTTATGCCATCTTAAAAAAGGTATTTGAAATGAACAAATCAGTGATTTTACAGAATTTTATCATGCGATCTCCAGCATTATTTCTATAACCAAGGCCATGTTTTCCAACTACTGATCCTTCCTCTTTGTTCCCAACCTTTGCATTCCAATCACCAGTAATGATTAATACATCTTGATTGCATGTTTGATCAATTTCAGATTGAAGAAGTTGTTAGAATTCTTCTATTTCATCCTCACTGGCCTTAGTGGTTGGTGAGTAAATTTAAATAATACTAGTAATAATTGGTCTTCCCTGTCAGCACTTGGATATTATCTTATCACACATAGCGTTGTACCTCACGACTGATCTGGATATGTTCTTTCTGACAATGAATGCAACACCATTCCTCTTCAATTTGACATTTCTGGCATAATAAACCATGTGGTTGTCAGATTCACTAATGCCTAAGATATTGATGTTTATGCATTCCATTTCTTTTTTTTACTATTTCCAATTTTCCTAGATTCATAGTTTGTACATTCCATGTTCCGATTACTAATGGATGTTTTACAGCTGTTTCTCTTCACTTTGAGTTTTGCCCCATCAGCAAATGAAACTACCGTGGACTTTACTCCCACGGGCTTTACTCCATTTGCGTCATCACGGTTAACTCTACTTTGAGGAGGCAGCTCTTCCCCAGTAACATTTTGAGTGCCTTCCAACCTGAAGGGCTCATTTTCTGGCACTATATCTGACAGTGTTACTCTGCTATTCATAAGGTTTTCAGTGACTTACTATTCGGAAGTAGTTTGTCACTCCTTCCTAGTCTGTCTTCGTCTGGAAGCTCATTTGAAACCTGTCCACCATGCGTGACCCTGCTGGTATCTAAAATACCGATGGCATAGCTTTCAGAATCACAGCAACTCACAGGCCACCACAGTATGACAAACTGACAGACGAGTGGTGGAGAGATGGCTCCTTAGCGGGCTGACACACTAACCAATCCTCATGTTAGACTCCCATATAGCCTAATTGCCTGACCTCACGCACTCATTTGATTAGAGTTAATTAGACTGTGGTAGAAGAGCCATGATTCATGGTGTGTCTGGTTTCCTGAACCCTGTTGGAAGTTTGTTTCTGTGCTGGGAGCTTACATGCATACCTTGGTCCCTCTAATGTGTCCCTTTGACTCTTGTGCTGTTAACAGTGGAGTCATAGGGTTAAGAACCAGAGAAGAAACTACGCAGAATTTAAGGTTAGTTGGTAGATAAATAGGAGCCTGCCTGGCACAAGTGGCTTGCAATTGTCTGCAAACCTAAAGGTTGGGGATTTGAACTCACCGTACCATTCCATGGAAGCAAAGCCTGGCAAACTTTTGTAAAGTTATTAGCTACAGTTCAGTTGATTGAGACTTATTGTGCCCTGTGTGTACAGAGTAGAACTGCTCTGTAGGGTTTTTGAGGCTGTGACCATATGGATGCAAATCACCTGGCCTGTCTGCTGAGGCCCCTGTGAGTTGATTTACACTGCCAACCTTGTGAAGTAGCAGCCCAGCGCTTAGCCATGTGCGCCATCCACGAAAACTCTGTGGAGCAGGTTCTACTCTGTAAATTGCAGGGTTGCAATGCCTTGGAGTCTACTTGATAGCAGTGGCTTTGGTTTTGTTGTTTGGGTTAGTGGGCTAAATGGGTAAAAACAATTTAGAGGCCAAAACACCAACTGTATTAAAATACTTGTTTTTCTAAAATGAAGCTGAGAGAATCAGTGGAAACAGGACAATATTTAAGGGAAATAATTATTCTGGAGAATTTTCCAGTAAGCAAGTGGGTGCTGGAGATAATGTTTTAATGAGTAAGTAGAAAGTCCTTGGGAAAACATTACTAATGACTTGGACTACAATAAAAATGTTGTTGTTGAGTGCCGTTTGTCATTCTGACTCATAGCGACCCTGTTTAGGGGCTCTGAGGAACAACTGGTGGGTTTGAACTGTTGACTTCGCGGTTCCCAGTCCAGTGCTGATTCTATAGTGCCACAGCCGAATTACAAGTAGTTGTGGTTAAGTGCCGTCGAGTTGGGTTTCTGAGGCTTTAACTCTTTGTGGGATCAGAAAGCCTCATCTTTATCCATAGTAGTGGCTGGTGGGTTTGAACTGATGAACTGTGGTTCAAAGTACAGTGCTTATCTTATGGAGCCTCCTCACTCAAAAGGTACCCTGTTTAAAGAGTTTCTTGTGAAGCAGGTGTTTGTTTTTGTAATATGAGTAATCACTTATGAATTTACCTGAACTCTGTGTGCACATTTAAATTTGTACTGTAGGGGGAAATTACAGTAGTATATACACAAGGAAAAACCAGCATGATCAGTATAGTTTCTTAATACTTTGTTGCTAATTCTTACTGTATCAGATGCTTGATAAAACAAATTAGTACTTACATATGTGTAGCAAAAAATTCTTACCTCATTGGTGACTCAGGGTAAATATTTATACAAGGTGAAATACTTTTCTGCTATCTGAAGCAATATGTTGTGGCAGTTGTGAAATCTATCTTTTAAAAAAATTCTAATGCTTTTATAGAAAATATCAAACTTACATAAAAGCAAAGATAGTGCCCATCCCCCTAACTTTACCAGCTGTGGGCACATGAGTTGTTTTGAAGTAAATCCCAGGGTAGCATTTCATAAGTATTTCTGAAACTGAGTGGTGGTTGGGACTTTTTTTTTTTTTTTTTTAAACTAAATTGACATTTCTCCTCACAATTTCTTTGGGTTTTGTCCCCTGACAGTTGTGCTTTGTTTTATTCTTATATAAATAAGGTAAAAGTGATTCTTTCTCCCCCATTTTATGATTACAAATAAGATGAACTTGGTCAATGTACACATATTTAGAATTCCTTAAGGGGAATAGGCAGTATCTGTGGTAGGTATTTGTTTTCTTGATCTGGGAAGAGGGAAACAGAAAAAGAGCTAAGCTATGGATCTTGTCTAACCACGTTTTGCTGTGGTACTTAAAAAAAAAAAAGTGATTGTCCTGGAAAAGGAAATTCATAGTAGTTTAATTCCTAATTCTAAAAATGAAGTAATTGAATTATTTTACACTAGACTAGCTCAGTTGCTAGTATTTTCTTTCATTCTTTTAAAAATAGCTGGTGGTGGTGATGATTATGTGCCATGGGGTTGGTTCCAACTCATAATGACCCTGTACAGGGTTTCCAAGGCTGTAAATCTTTACAGGAGCAGAGAGCCTCATCTTTCTCCCATAGAATAACTGGTAGTTTCGAACTGCTGGCCTTGAGGCTCGCAGCTTGATTCGTAACCACTACGCTACCAGAGCTCACTGGCTATAAATTGCTTTTTCTTAAGGAGGGGTGTTTTTGGTGGCATATATAGTGCAGTCTAACATAATTAATTTGCTGTGTTCTCTCACTCTTTCTCTTTCATGCCACTGACTTGTTGAAAGGGCAGAGGAAGGATAGGAGAGTGGGGGTCACACACATCTTAGTGTCTGTGTATCTTTGAACTAAGGAAGGGGTTCTTATCATTTTCTGTACCACAGACTCCTTTGGCAGTCTGAAATATTTTTTAGGATATTTAAAAACTCATAATGCAAAACACATAGGGTTAGAAAGGAAACTAATTTTTAAATACTCTTAGTAGAATGTTAAAGCTTGTAATATACTAATATATACTCCTTAACAATAAGCAGTTGCTAGCTATGACAATTTCAGAGCCGTCAGTGTAGATGATATTCCAGGTCTGTAACAATTTAATGTGCTATGAAATTATCTGAGTCTACTGTAGTTTATTGTCCTTATTTTACAGTGGAGGGAAATGCTAAATTCTAGTCTGGGGATACTGGGAAAAGATGTGACCACCCTTCTCCCATTTAAGTTCATGGATTCTCTGAATTCTATCCACAGACCCCTGGCCTGCAGTCCCGGATTTAGAACAGCCAAACTAACACTTTGTCTATGTCCTGGGAGGCTTTGTTTTAGGCTAAAGGTCTTAATTTTAAAATAATGTTTTTCAAATATTATAGCTATCGATTGCAGTGGCTTTAAAAATTAGCCATGTTAAGTGCTGTCAAGTTGATTCTGACTCATAGTGACCTTGTATGGGGTTTCTGAGGAGCATTTGGTGGTTTTGAACTGCTAACCTTGTGGTTAGCAGTCCAATGCTTATCCTATAGCACCACATCAGGACTCTCCAAAATAAGCCATTTGTTGTTGTTAAGTGCTGTTGAGTTGATTCCGACCCATTGGGACTCTGTATACGGTTTCCAGGGAGTAGCTGGTGAGCTTGAACCACCAACCTTGCAGTTCAAATGGCTTTGTAGTCTGACGCATTAGCCCATAGCGCCATACCAGGACTCCTAAAATAAGTCCTAGCAATCTAATGATGCTGGGTATCCAAATGGTCTGAATGTGTCTTTTCTGAGTAACAGTGTCTCCTCATTTTTCCTTATGAGCTACATTAAAAAAAAAGTGTTTGTATTTAATACAAAATGTAATATGTCAACTAGTTTCTAAACTTCTATCTTGGCTATTAATTTATTGTAAAAATTCAAACTTAAAACATTTTTGTTCTTCTGCAGGATTCGGAAACTTCAGATACGAAATATCCCGCCTCACTTACAGTGGGAGGTAAGAATTTGTGTATTTAAAATGAAGGCCTCAGTATCTAAGTCTGCTGTTGTTTTTACCAAAGACTTCTCTCCTTTTCCCGATGTGGCAGGTCATAAGACTCTTCCTGGTTTCTTTGTCTTGGTGCTTGTGTGGGGTCATTACAGCTTTAAAAAATCTGCTCTTTGAGATATATTTAAAAGTAAAAGTTGAAATAGATTAGTGAGTAACTGACTGATTTCCTTCATTTAACCCCATCCTGATGGGGTTGTATTAATTTGAGATCTTTCTGATAATGCCTAGCACGTAAGCTTTATTTAAAAACATTATTTTGCTTTCTTGTGCTCAGATTATGGTATCATGGTGCTTCTATATAAACAGAAACTATTTTGCACAGTTGACAAACCTCTGTCTTCCCAAAACCTAGTAATTATGTTGTGATGAGAAGTTGAGGCTCCCACAGTATAAGAGAATAGAGAATGTCTGTTGACCCTTCTAAGTGATGAAGCCTGAAAGTTCTTAAAGCTTACCTTGGAGAAGGTGATGCCTGGTAACTGTATATAGACCACATAAGCAAATGGGCAGGGACCAAAATTTATTAGTGGTTGTCAGGAGAAGGGTACAGTTTCTTAAAAACTTTATTTTTAATGTGGTAAATATATATATGTATATGTGTATACACACACACACACACACACACATATATATATATGAAACAAAATCTTTGCCATTTCAATAGTTTCACATGCACACTTCAGTGACATTGATGATGCTCATGTTTCCATCACCACTATCCTTTTGTGAGTTTTTCCATCACCATTAACAGAAGCTCAGTGCACTCCCTAAAGTCTTAACTCTTCCCCCTTCCCTCCTGTTCCTGATAATCACTAATAAACTGTAGTCTGTATTTGCTTATTCTAGATATTTCAGATCAAAGGGAAGCATCCTATGAAGGGGCTTGTAACACTGTGTAGGGAAGTTAGTAATGTGAAATCAAGAATATTTAAATTCAGATTATAGTCTTCCAAAATATTTGATTAATCACTAAACCAGAACCTACATCTCAGTGCAAAGTACAGCTACAAGGTTATTTTGGAGGTGTGTTGAGGGGAGTAGATCTGAAGCCAGATTCTCCAAGGTCACTTAGTTGGTAATGAATCATTTATACTTATTAATTCACACAGCATTGATCTTCAGAATGGCATTCCATAGCTTAATCTTAGCAGGAAGAAGTTACTTCTTTGGAGTACGTGGAATATTTTCCAAGTTACATAAAAGTATTAAAATATACTTTTATATGTGAAAACAGTGACTTCAAACATTTTCTAGTTTTATATTACCGTTTGTTTAAGGAATTCAGTCACTTTGGGGGTAGGTAGCCGAAGTCACTTTTGTGTCATCAAGATAACTGGTTTGATACCTTTATTTTAAGATGAGCCGTATTAAATAGGGTTTGTTGCTTGGGAATTCCCTGTAGTGTAATGTAACTTTCAATGCAGTAGCACAATAATAGCAGCCAATTGTAAGGACTAGAGTACTAGTGTATCTGCTGTAGGCTAGTGACAGTTTTGGTGGAAATCATTTGCAGTACCTTTCCAGATTTTCTATTGGCCTCTCAAGCTTTTACTTAATTGCATTTTTCCTTATTTGCAGTAAAATTTGGTCTGATTCATGAGACTAAATCTTTTATTTTTTAAAAAATGTTTTCTTGTGATTTATGTGATAGTTTACATGGGAGAACATTAGCTTTACATTCATCCTATCATATATTATTTCATTGCCATGGTTACAATTCCCTCCAAGTATCATCAGCCAACCAAAGGGTACACCCTGCAAGCCTGCTCCTTGGTCGGCAGTGCACAGCCTCTCTCCCTCTCTGGGTCTTTAGTCCCCAGCTGTTCCATCTCTCCACATCATCGACTCTGCCTCCATCTCTAGTGTCACGGTTTCTCTGGGTAGGGTCCCACACTCCTCCGCTCTTCTCCCCTGATGGTCCCAGGGACCTCCACTCCTGGACTGCAAAGTCAACCACTCCTCTCCTTTTGCTACAAAATGTCTACCTTTACATTTCCAACCCTCACAGTCAGTCCTGATAGCAGTTATTTACTATTGTACCATATGAGTGCTATCCACATCCTTTTCATCAGCCCCACCCAGACAGATTGGATAGTACTCAGTGGAGATTTTACCTTCCTCCACACCTTCTGGATCTAGGCTCCCTCTTGAAAGCTTGTAAGTGAGTCACGTCTTGCCTCTGTAGCCCACTTTTTGGGTAGCCAATGTCCAAGTTGCCCATCCTTGTCTACCCTGTGTAACGAGAGGGTGGGAATGGTCCTCGCTGTAAAAATTTGTTCCCTCTTTTGAGCTACTGCATCCATAGGTGCAGGGATGAGACTAAATCTAACATTTCCTTTTTTTCTTTTTGTTTCAAATTGTGATTTGGGGTGAGAGTATAGAGAACAGATTGGTTTTCTCTTTATCAGTGGATACACATTTGTTTCATAACATTGACTACAATTCCCACATTGTAATGTCACATTTCTCTACCTCCTTCCTGTGTTTCCTGTTTCCATTTGTCTTCCTTATCTATTCCTTCCTGCCCTCTGAGCTGTAGCCCTAGGCAGCTGCCTCTGCAAATGTTCATACTCAGACTTGCTGATGCCATTTTGATTTTCAAACATTTCCACAAAGCCTCCCCAAAATCTTCCTTAGAGGCAAAGATGGAACCAGCAGGCACGATTCTGTGCCACCTTTTAACAGTTCTGTCAATATGTAAAAAGATTTCCTGGTCTCACAGTGGTTAAGCTCATGGTGCTAACTGAAATGTTGACAGTTCAAACCAAATCAGTGGCTGTCAAGATTACAGTGTAGAAAACCCTATAGGACAGTTCTACTCTGTTATATGGGGTTACAGTGAGTCTAAATTAACACATTGGTACTTACTGCTTTTACCAAAGTCCACACACCAGTCATCCACCATGCCATCCTTTAAAGGAAAAAAAAAAAAGTTTTAAAATTACCTACACAGACTATCCTATTTTTTCACAACTCAAATCATCAGGATAAGCACTGAACTGCAACCTTCAAGGTTTGAGTCCACCAAATCAACTGTGAGAAAGATGAGATTTTCTGCTCTCATAAAGATTTACAGCCTCAGAAAACCTATGCAAGTTGAGTTGGAACCAACTCAATGGCGCTTAGCATTAACAACTTAAATAATAAACAGGCCTTCTTTATAACTACAATTTGTCTGTGGTAAAAGACATCTCTAAATGGGTTATTTCTAATATTTAGCATCAGTGCCTCCCATGGCTTCTTTTTGCTTAGCTCATGTGTAATGCCGATGCTACTGTTTCTACAGATGTTACCCATTTTGAGCAAAAGTAACTCATACCATTAGCTTTACACTGTTATTCTTAAAATGTTTTTTGCCTTACCCAACTTCTATTTGACACTAATTTATGTAGCTGTCAGAGGCCAATTGCATCTGACCATAGGCCAAAATTGAACAACACTTAGACACCAGACGAGACCCTGGAGAAAGTCAACATGTAACCTAACAGGACCTCATGGGTTCCATCACTTTTGCCTAAGGCTCTTTACCAAACACCCAAGGCAGTCTTCTGATTCTCAGCACTCATCCACCCAAGACTAATGGTCAACTTCCCTCTGAGCAACGAGGGGACTCTAAAAAGTTCATGAAAAAAATAGAGTTGAAAGATAATGGAATGATGCCTCAAACTGTTTTAAAGCGCCTTTATGTTTTATATTAACCAGGATATTGTTTGCTTTCCCCAAAACTAAATAACATGTGGCCCTTTTTTCTTTTTAACTTATGTGGTTTCTTCTGAATAAAGACTTTGTTTTTGCTTCTTCTGCCAAGGTGTAGCTTAACGATGTTGCCATTTCTACTATATAGTAAGCACAGTCAGGAAGTCTCCTATGGTTCAAGCTTTCTTACATGATTCAGAGTCCATTCTGAAAGGGAATAACAGATTTCACTGTAGTCTTGGAGTCCCTCATTGACCCAGATTGTTAATTACTTGACTACTAATGGGAAGGGTTGATTTGCAGAGGTGTCTTGAAAGAAAGACCTATCTTGAAAAGGTCTCAAGCTTGAAAACTGTGGAATGCAGTTCTGCTCTGTACATGAAACCACCGTGAGTCAGAACTGACTTGATTACAACTAGTTTGGTTTATTGTGACCTCACTGGGTTTTTGGAGCTATTACTGATCTTTATGTAATTTTTTACCTCTACACCTCACTATCATGAAGTATTTTCCTAAGATTAATATGGATCATTTCTCCATTACATCTTAAGTGCCGTTGAGTTGGTTTTGATTCATAGTGACCCTGTATAGGGTTTCCGAGAAGTGTCTGGGGGAATTGAACACCAACCTTGGTGTTAGCAGTCCAGTGCTTACCTTACAGCATCACACCAGGACTCCATTGTAATGATTTGGTCTAATCGCACATGAATAGTCATCTTACTTCTAGAGGGTCAGTAGTAATGTGTTCTTTCTCATTTCTGAGTTTAGTTATTCGCATCCTCACTATTTCATTTTTAGTCTAGCTTAAAGTTTGTTGCATTGGTTGATCTTTTCAAAGAAGCAGCTTCTGGTTTCATTGACTCTGGTTCATTTATTTCTGTTCTGATTTTTTTAGTTCCTTTCTTCTGGCAGCTTTGGGTTTGGTTTGCTCTTCTAGTTCCTAAAGTTGTAGAGGTCAGGTTACTAACTTGTGGTTTTTCTTGTGATAGTTGAACCATATGCAGCCCCCCATAAGTATTATGACTTGGAAATGTAGTTGCCCCAGTCATATGAGATATTAGGGTCCTGCCAGCATTTAGTGCCCTATGAGTTCCTGCTACAGCACCATATGATAAGTGCTTGACCTCAGGTTTGGTTTGAAGTGAGTGAGACA